CCCATTGTCAATAACAGAGCAATAATGCAGCAAGTCTAGGGGGCGTAGTTGTTTTGTCTGACTTTTGTATCTTGGGTTTTCAGATATGTGTAGAGTAAGGGGCTGAGGGCTGGCAGGATGGGAAGCAGTTCCATGTCTCCTTGGCCAGCACTGTGTCAAGGCCAATGGTGGCTGAGGCCCAGCCTCGGGACGAGGGAGGACCTGGTGCCAGGGCTAAGTCAGATGGGGAGCTCTGCTCCGTGGAAGGTGAGCCCACCAGGCTGTGGGGGCAGGATTGGAAATAGCAGTGCCCTGGGCTGGTCTGAGGCTGGTGCCCAGTGGGCCCGTGTGCCTGGTGTATGGGAGGCAGCTGCCTAGGCGTCTACACAACTGTGCTGATGCCACTGGGCTTGACCTTGCTGCTGGTGGGGGGTGGGGGGGCCGGGGGCTGCCCATGATGGTGTGCTGCATGCCCCGAATGGCTGGGGTGGGCTGTGGACAGTGGTGGGTGGCCATGAGCATGGGCACCATATGGGGGATGCCCACCATGTGGGCCGTGGTGGTACTGGTGGGTGTGCTGCAGGTATGGGGTGTTGCTGGGTGTGGTTGTGAGCGAGGGATGGGTTCTGCTGCACATGGCAGTACTGCCCGTGGTGCCCATGCACCTGTGGTGGGACCTCTGAGGGCCCAGGGTGGTGGGCATGAGGGGGTGCTGGCGGAGGGGCTGAGGGTGGGTGGGACTGGGGAGGGGGCTTCCCTCTCCTGCTCCCAAACAAGGAGCCCAGGAGGGAGGAGGAGTTGGACATGGGCTGGGAGGGGCGAGATGGACACTCTCGTGTTGATGTTGCTCTCCGGCGCATGTGAGGACTGCTAATGATGGAGCCCTAAAAAGGAAATTCATAGAAACCAAAATTAAAAGATCTCAAAGCATGCAGGTCAGACCAAGCTTTCCAAAATCAAAAGTCACCCACTGACTGCTGGACCCTCAGCTCCCCACGCTGGCCAGAGGGTTTGAAGGAGGTGGGCTTCTCATGATACACCTGCTGTGCAGAGCAGCGGGGGGCTGCCATGATGGAGGTGGGGTATGGGGCGGTCTCCTTTTTGCACAACAGCACAAGCATGGCTTCTGCTCTTGCTGTGCTGATGTGAGCTGAGGTCTCAGACCACATGACTAGGTAGGGTAATGTGAACTAAAAGTGAGGCTAAAGAGAGGTGGTGAGTGGAAAAGGAACCCAGTTCCTGCAAAGTTGCACCCTAAGCTCTCCTGGAACCTCTGCCCATGCAGGGGTTCAGAGGTGTCTGGGAAGCTGGTGACAGCCAGGTGGGACCCAGCAACCTTGACCTTAGGGGCATGGCCTAGGCCTTTCCCTGAAGCTACCTGTTGCAAACCAAAGAACAGAAAAAGGTCTGCCAGCTGAGTCAAGGTATGGGCAGCAGGGAGCGATGGGATGGATGAGATCTCATGAAATCCACACTGATTCCTCCTTTCTCTCAGAAGCTCCTCCCGTGAACTAGCTAAGCAATTCCATGGTGTCCTGACCCCAGACACACAGCCAGTGAAATTTCAGGAAGGAAGCAATGGATGGCGGAGCACAGGGGCAGGCGAGTGGGGCCAACACATCCAACAACAAGAGCTGAGGGTAAGTGAGGGATGGGTGGCGCTGGCGCCCGGGGCGAGACCTGAAAGCCAAGACATTCACCATGCTCAGGGATCCCAGGAAATGGGGTTAAATGGAAATGAAAATACAAAATCCACACACCTCCCTCCCACCCCCACCATTGGGTTGGAGCAAGTTGGTGAGAGGCATGGATGCTTCTAGGTAGAGAAGCTGCATGCAGGGCGAAGGCAGGCAGGGGCAGGGGGGTCAAATCTGTGTCTCTGCAGGAAGGGGAAGGAAGAGCAAAAGAAAAAAGAAAAAAAAAGACGACAGATATAAACCAAGGACGGGGTGACAGAGGACAGCCAGCTAGACGGAGGCGCTTCCTACTTACTTCCACATTGCTCTCTAGCGATCCCGCACTGCTGCGACGCCCTCGCTTCCCTGCCCAGAACATGCAATACCAGAGGTTAGACACGCACACCAGGCCCAGCACCACTGCCGCCTGCCACTGCCACCGCCCAGAGCTGGGGCCAGCCCACCTGCCTGCCAGTGCCAGGTAGCGGGTAAGGAGGTGCTTGGCGGGGAGGTCGGCAGCAGTGCAGTAAGGAGTTTTAAAAACAATGGCGTGAGTGCTCAATGAAGGGAGAAAATGTTTTTAAAAGCAGTTCCAGCTTCAATACGTTTATCTTGGGCTGTGGTCTTTGGGGAGGGCCTCTGAGGTGGGGATGTGTGTACCATCACCTCAAACTCCTGCCTGCTCACCTGACTCAGTGCAGCCAGCCTCAGCTGAGGGACAGGAGGGGGGCTGTTTGTGCAGCTTCTGCAATAGCACAGTGCCCCTGCCCCAGGAGGATTCATATACACATATATATGTACATATATATATGCATATTCACATGCATTCTCACATATATATATATCCCCCCTTGCCTTCTGGAGCAGAGTAGGAGGTCAAGAGGAAAGTGAGCCTGGGGGCCCCTTGTCCTCTGGTACCTTTGGGGCAATAGTTTGGTTTGTGCAGTGCCCTGACTCACAGGTCTACCTCCCCCACCTAAAATGATACAAAGCATTAAGTCCAGGACACAGCACACAGTAGGTACTCAGTGTGTGCTGGGTATACCAAAGGAAGGTTAGTCCTTTCTATTGGCTCTGGGTACCTGGGGGCCACTCATGCTTTCACAGTCCCTTTGGACAGATGCATCTCCTTGGCTTCCTGTATGATTCCCAGATCTCAGGGAGCAAGAATGGTATGATTCTTGCAAGATGGAAGTGTGGTGCTCCCTGCTAGACTTTCCAGAAGCTTTTGTGGGTACAGAACTAGCAGAGTCAAGCACCATGCTGTACTTGACTTTCACAACGGTCTCTGTCCATGTCAGAGGGAGGCAGAGGCTAAGGTGGGGCATGGACTGCCTCCACTCACAAGGAGCCTCGCGGAGCCCTGAAAAATGCTGCTGTGTGTCTCAGGTGTCCATGGCCTAGCATTGGGGGGAGGGGGTGAATGCTGCTGCTCCTCAGAGAAGACTGGCCTACACAGAAGGATCAGGTGGAGACAGTGTATGGCTCCTTCAGTCTTGCTATGTGAGGACGGGTGTCAACCATCATGCAGATGTGGAGGAAGTTCAGTCCTTTTCTGCCTGCTGCTCCCAAGCCTCAGATCCATGGGGGACTCTGGGTCAGCAGAAGTCCATAGCACCAGGTGGGACAGGAATGTTTCTACCAGTAGCTTGAGACATCCCAGGGAGTATGAAGAAAGGAGGCTGCCAATGCATCCCTGTCTGCAGGTGCAAAAGGGGCTGCTCAATGGTGTCCATGGTCATGGTAAAGGTAGACTCTGGGCTGTGAAGTGACATACTCAGTACTGCTTAGGCTCTTGCCCCCAGTTTTCCCATCTGTGAGATGGATACTTCCTGTCTCCAAACTGCCCTCCTGAGTGGCCATGGTAGGACAATGTGGTACCGTGTGGGCATTCTCTCTCTTCTTGGTAGTCTTTTTCAAACTGCTCAGGCCTCCCCCAGGCCTCAGACTTCCTGGAAAAGGCTAGGCAGCCTGCATGTATCCTGCAGCCTGAACGGGAGCTGATGAGGCTGTATTTTTGCCCAGGGGGGATTGAGAGTGACGTTGAGTTTCTTGAGCTTCATCTTTTTTAACTTCACTGCTGCACCCCACAAGTTCACACAAGCATTTGGGCCAATGGAAGAGCAAGTCATACTGGTGACAGGCCCACCCCACATTCTCCATGGTTCATCTGGAGGGCTCCAGTGTGGTTCTTATAGCCTTGGCTGCATTTCAGAGGCAGGACAGGCTCTCTTCTCTGCACTGTGGCCCTCACACTTCACTCACTGACCACAGTTAGTTCTTAATTCTTCACACGCACTGACTTGTTATTGCAGCTGGAGAAACTGAGGCCAGGGCCTGCCTGCTCAAGAATGGCTGAGAGTAAAGACATGGGCTCCAGCCAGGTGACTCCAGATTCTGTGCTTGACATAGTGCAGTAGGAGGCCCTGTAGCTGTCTACCTGCCACCAGCTCTGCCAAATGGACTGCTCTGGTATAGGCTATGGGGTCCCTGTGACCTCAGGGATGTCATCTCTGTGGGAACTTCATACTGGGCAGTTCAGTCAGAGAGGGCCAGTCTGGGCACAGCACTACTGTAGTGCCCGATGTGACAGGCTCCGAGCCTGGTTCCCTTCCCTTTCCCTCCAGGAGGCGTCTACAGATAGGCTTCCTTGTGGATCACCCTAGGTTCCTGCTGGGCTCAGATCTTGTCCATGGTAGGTATCTCCTGTATGGATGGGCCACTGCAGAGCGGAGGCAGCTGCTCTCAGGGTACCCTGTCCTGAAGTACTGAGACAGGCCTGCCTCTTTATGATACCTCACTGGCTGTCACTAGTGGCTTAGCTCAGTGGTGACCGTGGAGAGTGAGGAGGACTCAGTTGCCTTCTGGGAGCTGGAAGTTCAGCTCAGAAATCCTGCCTTCCCTAGACATCCTGCCACCATCTTCTAAGGTAAGCTGCTGCCTCTGTTGGCCACCATCTGTACATCACACTTGGCCTTGGTCTGGACTCAGATGCCTGGCATCCCCCTCTGAGTTTTTTTGCCTTGAGGCTTCTACCCCTAGAATCCTTGACTTGGGGCCTAGAGAGTAACCAATAACAATTCAGAGAGCAGCTGCACGGAGGAGCTCCACCCTAATAGAGACACGGCCAGGTGGGCAGCTTCATGTGATCCCTGAGCCTGTTGCCCTAGACCTAAGTCACAGCAGGACCACTGCACAGACTCAAACCACCCCAGGGCCCGAGCAGTCCAGTGACATGGGCTGGGTTGAACAAGGCCAGTGGGAAGCCAGTGGTTCTCAACCAGGGGTGATTTGACACCTGGCATTTCAGTAGAGGCAACATGTGTCACAAGCAGGCAGGTGCTGCTAGCCTCCAGTGGCCAAGCCCAGGTACAGCCCAACAGCAGGCAGTTATTTGGTCCAGAGTGTCCACAGGGCCCAGGTTGAGAAGCCGTGGCTTAAACCCTCATGCTGGCAGTGAGTTTCAGATTCTCACTGTGGGAAAACAAAAATAACAAAAGCAAAGGAAACTCAAAAAGAAAAAAAAAATTCTGAGAAATGAGAAAGCGGCATGAGGCAGAACTGTGGAAGGATTGGGGGTGGGGGTGGGACGGTGTGCTAGGCAGGCTCTGAGGGCCCCACCTCGCACAGGCTGGGCAGGCACAGGAGCCCGGGTATCTCTTGGGTGACAGTTCCCTGCCCCCGCTGCTCCATGGATGCTGACTGACTAGACACTCCTGGTGGCTAAGGGGCTGCTTCTCTGACAGCACCACCCTTCACTTCAAGGCTGGAATGTGGCCACTGGCAGTCGCTCCCTGAAGCTCATGGTACCCTCCACCTCTGGGAAATTCAAGAGGCTTGAGGGCTGCTTGCTGGGTAAATGGCTGGCAGCAAATTAAACAAACAGAAACACCATGGACAGTGACAGGCTGCCAGTTTTCCTGACATCCTGCTGTGCTGATGGCCTTTGGGCTGGGGTTCTCAGGAAAGGGGCCCTACAAGGAAGCAAGAGCAGGACAGTGGCAAAAGGGGTTCCCAGACAGCTCAGAGGGCTTCGCTCAATTTCATTCATCAGCATAGAGCACACAGCAGCAGAGAGCATGTGAGACACACCCACGTCGGCCTGGCGTGCTTAGCCTTAGAGCAATTGGCACAAAGTAGAGCAATAAAGAAACCCTGGGAGAAAAAAGGGAAATGGCGGAGCCATTCCCAGCTGTCTCCCACAGACTGCCTTTTTTCTCTTTGAGACCAGACACTCCTGTGCTCCTCTGTCTTCCCAGGGCGCTCGTGATACCCAAAAGCATTGTGTCCATGCCTGAGCAACTCTTTTCGGCACCATACCTGCCTAAACTGCCTGTGGAGGCCCAGCCTCAGTCCTGCATGCACAGGTACTTCTCAGCCCTGCTCTTACCCGCTTCTGAGAGGTCACGCAGGGAGCTGCTAAGGGCGCTGCGCTTGAGGCCCTCGCCACTGGCATAGCTGTCATCCAAGCAGGCCCTGCTCAGTGTTCCGTTGCCTGACTCCTTTTTGAGACTGGAGCACTGTGACATGCTGGGTCGCACAACACCCTTCTGCTTCTCGAGCTCAGCTGCAATGGATCAAGAAGGCTGGTGAGGGGCAGTGGCCACTGTCCTGGGCCCAAGCTCCAGCAATAGGGAGGGTGTGATGGCACCGTGGACAAAAATGGGCAGGGCCTGGAGGCCAGGCTGCTTGTGATAACAAAGACTGACACTTTCTAGGCTCTGAAGGGACAGAGAGGCCAAAGCTGGATTAGATCTGAGGGAGGAGAGGATCAGCCAGGCCCTTCTGCAGAGGAAGGCAGAGGCAGGAATGCCACATGCTTGCATTAAGACCTAGAGCCAAGGGACACTGTGAACCTAGTTTACTAGGCTGGAATTAGTTCAGTTCCACAGTGATCAGGAACAAGGTTCTGGCCAAGGCAAGTAGTACTATGCGCTGAGGAGTAGGAGGGATCCCTGAGTGCCTCTGCCCAAGACATAGGCTGCCCTGGCACATGGTTGTGGGGAGACAAAGACCTGGCTGTCTCATCTCTTGACCCCAGGGAATCCTGCCATCACCTACCTCTCACCATTGTCATTGCCATGACACAGGGACAGCTACCTGGCCCCAAGCTCTGAGTACTTATGTGCCATGTGGCACTTCCCTCTCTCCTGCTCAGGACCTGGGGCCTGACATTCTATGGGCATCTGCTTCCCGTCTCCTGCTTGGGACTTACACTCTATCCGGTGCTTTTCCATCTCCTGCACTTCAGCTACAGACTCCCGCAGGTCATCAGTGAACTTCTTCCGGTCCTGAGGATTGGGAGCGTTGAAGTTTATTAGCACTTTGATGTCTGCTCCAGGGACAGCAGATGTCAGCCGGATGCCATTAGGGTAGTCTACGTGGAAGAGCAGAGAACAAGGATTGGGTGGGTCTGGATAGGCTTCTGAAGCAGCCTTCTCTCCATCCTGGGCTGTTTCCACATAGTAACAGAGAGTCTGGACAGGCTTCTGAAGCAGCCTTCTCTCCATCCTGGGCTGCTTCCACACAGTAACAGAGAGTGAGGCCTCATGCTGCCCCACCCTGAAGGTCATGGAGCGGGTTCAAGCCAAAGCCCTTGGCCACTGCCAGGTGCCAAGTCCTGAGAGACAGTGGCATCCTCAGCTTGGTGGGGTGTCTTACCCTGTGTCCCCAGGGAACTCTGAATGGCCTCCATCCCCAGCTTCCTTGGGGTATATCATGGCACCCCACAACCACAGCTTCTGCCTAGACTTCTGATCTTGGAGATACCTGGCTGAGCATCTCAGGTTCATGTTTCTGGTTTGGCATCCAAACCCTAGTGTACCTCTGCTCAGCAGATGGGATGAGTGCCGCCCCTCACCCCCCATCTCCCAGGCACGTGGAATCGGGTATTGAGCAGCACCAAGCTGAAGTCCAAGGCAACTAAGTCTGATATGAACATTTATATATGGGCTCAGCAGTTTTCCTAAAATTGTTCAAACAATGGGTGGCTCTTGTGCCCAGCTGGCATCTGGAATGGAGGGCATGTCCACAGCAATTGTGGGCTGGTTTTACTTTAGGGCCCGCTAGGACCCTGTCTGACCCTAGAAGGCTGAGTTCATCATCCTTCAGAGACTATGCTGAGCTGACACAAATACCACCAGCACCATAAGACATAGCTTTAGGGGAACAGGGCAGGAAATGGGGAGATGGCTAAGGGCAGGCATCTTTGGCTCAAGGCCATGTGAGAAGGGGTAGAGGGAAGCATACATGGCTGCCCCTCAATTTAACTGCCAAATAGGAGGGCTGAGAGCCTTAAATGCAGGCTGCTATTGGGCTATGGTTCTGATGGCTGCTGTAGCTCCCTGGCAGGTTTTGAACCTGCAGATTTATGGAAGACTAATCAGAGGACGGTATCAGCTTGTTTCGAGAAGAGGAAGGGTCCTCACTGCTAGAGACACCATCCCTTCCAGCCACCCCACACTAGGCAGAGCAACTGTTCCATTCCCATCCTACAACTGACTCTAAGCTCAGGGACCCCTGACAGAAGGGTTGAGGAGATAAAACAGCAGGACGGGGAGGCGGAGCCAGATTCCAAGCAATGGTGGGTCCACAGGTGTGAGCGGAGCTCTCAGTTGGACCACATTCACTGAGCTGTGTGGGGAGTCAGTCTGGGAGCTGCCTGTAGGGCAGGCAGTGTAATCGCCACGTTGTAGGCCAAAGTTTTAGGAACAGAGCCCCAGAGCATCCAGTGAGCTCTCAGCTTCTGCAACTACTTGGCCTTCCTCTGAGGCCACATCTGCATGCCACTATACTTGTCACTTAATGTTTCTCTAGGGCATGGCATCAAATATACCTATGCCTGACTGTTAAAATTCTAATCCCCGAAAAGAAGCAGGACATGAGCCTTGGGCAATGCCACTCCATTTTCCCAGCCTCCCCTGAGAGGGAAGGGGTTATGTATCCAGGAGGGAGGAAGAAGGGTACGCTCAGGCTGATGCCACACACTCATGGGTTCCAGCAACTCACACTGGTTCTCGAAGAGCAGGACCTGCATGCCGTATAGGGAAAAGGACTGCCGGAAGCTGTATGTCACCGAGTTCTTCTTCTTCTGGAAGATCTTGGTGACCTAGGGCAGTAGAGACAGAGCTGAGCTGCAGTCTGTGGGGAGATAGAACCCTGTTGCCCACCAAGGGTTGGAGGTATGACCCCTCACAGGAGGCGGCAGCCTGGCCTATCACTGTGTGATCCCCATGTGCCTTCTTCCTGTTGGTAGAGGTGTACATGCCTGGGGCCTGGCACCCTGGAGGACAGGGATAGTGAGCTAGGCAGTGCTGACCTCAGAGGCCATGCCTTACTCAGGGGCCATGGGAATGACCCCTAAGGGTAGGAAGCTGGGGAGCCCCGCACCTGCCCAATATGTATGAAGGGCTCTCTGGACGACCAAATGAGGATGCTGAGGCTCAGATCTGGGATGACCTGTTGAAGCTCAAAGGCCTAACAAAGGGTTTGAACCTTCCTCTCTAAGTTCCAGAGTCAGAAGGGAGCTGCATCTGGGGACAGGAATCTCAGGACAAGCTTCTTCACCACAGGCACTGTTATCTACACTGGCTGACATCTGCAATAGCATCCAATCCCTTTGGGGATCCTTCTGGTGGGCAGGCCTCTCCTCCCAGCTTGGGGGCATGGCCTGATGAGTAGGGTAGACCATCCTGCCCTGCCATATAGCAGCGATGGACTGAGGTTGGCATGTGCAGGCTGGGGACTGATCCTCTATTAGAAGTCTTAGGCAGAAAGTTCTACATGACAGCACAGTGGGGCCTGCACTGTTCAGGTTCAGAGTTCTGTAACATTGGGGTGCTCTAGAATCAGTCCCTTGGGCCAAGGAAGGCTTCTGTTTGTGAATATCATGAGTTGGAGTCTCTCCCTTTAACCAAAAGACTCTGGGCCTATCCCCCTGCTCAGGTTCTGGCACAAGGAAACTCCAGGTCCCCAATGCTCCCTTGTCCCCATGCCACATACCACCAGGAGGTCGTTGAACAGGAAGATCTCTCGCTGATGCAGCCCTAGCTTCTGGGGTTTATTGGGGTCTGGAACCTCAAAAAGCCGGCAGTAGCAGACTAGCCGCCGATGGGGTAGAGAAAGCACCTGTGCAGAGAGAGACGCCCAATCATGGTCATCAGGGCCTCAGGCAGCACTGGTCTCACCTTGTCCCCAGGAGCACTAAGATTTCTGACCTCTGAAAGACTATTGGTAGCATCCACATCTGCTGTGCCTTCCTTTCTATTTGTTTGGCTGGGAACAAGACTCCCCCTAAAAGTGTCCCTCACACATCAGCTCATCTGTTCTTGCAGAAAACTTTCTCTAGATGAGGAAATGGAGGCATACAGAGGTTGAATGGCTGGTCCTCATTCCTCAAACCGGAACACTGCAGAAGCTGTCTCTTATTTGAGTCCCCAGGAACCCCCATCTGTCAGTACCCTATCCAAATGGTACCAGTGGTTCTGATGCCTGGAGGAACCCCACTCTGTGGGGCTGGTCTAGGCCTCACCCTATGCTCTGCACCCCTGCTGCTGGACATACCCTACTGATTCACAGTAGTACCCCACAACCTTACCATAGCCAAAGTATCACCCTAAAGCTAAACTGCAAGCCAATATCCCAGAGCAGAGGGCATAAGCCGTCAGTGAGGCCCAGCCCTGCTCTGGGAGTCCTGGCTCCTGAAGAACACAGACAGGTTAGCAGAGACAGAATCCTCAGGGGTTAATGTGCTTGCAGGAAATCAAATGGCTGCTGGCTGCTTGGTGGAGGCTGTGAAAAGTAAAGTAATGGATAGTGCAGACAGTCTGACAAACTCAGGGAATCCAGTATGAGGTGAGAGGGGACATGTGGACTACAAGGGGCCAGGGAAGTGTTAGGAGGCTGGGATATTAGCATCTTCCCTAGGGGAATCTGGGATGGGGGGTTGCATTGAGAGGGCTAAGAGTCTGCCAGGCATGTACCTATGTGTGCACTATAGGGCACATGGGTAGCCACAGACAGGGAACTGGGAAGGCAGAAGTACAGGAGTGTGAGGGACTGTAACAGAGGCTAGAACAGAGCAAGCAGCTCATGGGGAGGAGTGGGAGAGGCAAGGAAGGCCCTTAGTGGCCATACAAAGGTCTTCTCAGGCACAGTGTCTGGGTCTGGGATCAACAGGATCCCCACAAGAGAGATCAAGAGCCTATCTACTTGGGCTTACCAACGCTGCCCTCCCTTTGTGACTGAGGTCTCAGGACCCTAGAAATGAACTTGAACTCTAAAGGAGCCTGGGGCATAGCAAAGGGACTGTAGATAGACATTAAAGAAAAAGTAGAGGAATACTCACACAACCAAGCCCGTGATGCAAGGATCCAATCTACAGGAAAACAATACACAAAAAGTAAATTGACCTTCCTGGGTTGAGTGAGCCCAAAGGTAGGCTGTGCCTCCTCTTCGGTCACCAGGGTACCCAGGAATACTGCCAAGGAGAGGCTCTGGCTTTTTGTGGGCTCTTGAAGGGGTTGAGGCATCTCCAAGCCAGTTTTGGGTAGGGACAGACCACATGACACTGTGGCCCATCAGTTACCACAGGCCTCGTGGTCTCATGGCAGGCTGTTGGAATTCCCAAACACTTAGAGGAGTCACCTGGAAAAGCCCCAGGCCAGAAGAGGCCCTTCCAGTGGCAGCAGAACCAGCAGAGCTGACCAAGGGTCACAGTGAGAAGTAGGACAGGTCTGCCACATACCGGCTTCTTGCCCACGATGAGCTTCTCCACCTTCTGCACCTGGGACACATGGTCCTCGTTGGTCTTCAATTCCCGCTTCCGGATCCGCTCATAGATCCCAATCAGCATCTCTCGGGGAATGTCCTCGCCATCATCCACACCTGGTCAGCGGACAGTGGTTAGACCTGAGAGTGGCTAGGGCTTGGGTAATGGTGGCTCCATTCAGTCCCAGGTCCCCAGGTAGACCCCTGGATTCATTGCTTCTAACATGAATCAGCAGAATAAACCTTTTCTGGGTCTTCAACAGAGGCACAGCTGTTCCAGGCCGCCAGCTACCGGCTTCCACTGAGTCCTCTCATCAGGACTAGCAGGTGACAGAACAGACTGTGTCATCTCCTAGGCCATGTTCACAGGCCTTTGTGAGCTCTGTCTTGCAAACAGGGCATAGCCCTGTGACACAGACACCACAGGTTGAGGCTAGGGTATACACAGGCTATGCAAGTTGAGGTTTGGGTTCAAGCTATAACAGACCAGGAGCCAAGCCCTAGTTGTATTCCCTTCTAGCTCATAACCATGGGCAAGTGACCCAGTCCCCTGGGCTTGGTGTCTTCCTTTGCATAACAGGTCACCAAGTACACTGGTGATGTTACGGGCTTGTCATGGAGAAGTGAAGGAGGCACATAGCATGACTACACAGCATCTGGCACAAAAGAAGAACACAGTATCCACAACTGTGGCCATCACTGCTGTTCCCATCCTATGGCAGAGGCTGGGGGCCAGACTAGATCTGAGGTCACTCTAACCACAAGCACATGAACCATCTTTTCCCCTTCAGTGAGAAAGTGTGAGGAGAAGATAACTCAGCCCTCAGGGGAAAGAGCAGGATCTTGCAAGGATTGAATGGACTGTGGGAACTCTGGCCTTCCATAGGCCACAGGGGCAAGGCTGAGGCAGCTCTACCCCTGCATGGGCCACAGGCCACACCTGCCAGAATGATCACTTCTAACCCTCTCCTGTCCGCTGAGTGCATGTGGAGGTTGCCTCATGGGAAATGAGACACACACAAGCACTACTTCCCACTCAAAGACTGTGACCCAAGTTCCCACCACCACCCGACACTGCCTGCTCAGACTTCTTATTGTACACCCCCTAAGAACAATTAGGAGGGCACAGAGGTGTCATGTGGATAAGTGCAGGAAAAGACATGGCACACTGGTGATCTGAGCAAGAGGCTGCAGCAGGGGTATCAGGAACCAAGTCTAAGACCAGGGAAGAGGCATGGCCTGAGTGAAGTGGTAGGGCACACCATAAAACTTCAAACATAGCCAGGTGTGGTGGCACACACCTTTGATCCCAGAACTTGGGAGGCAGATCTCTGAGTCCAAGACCAGCCTGGTCTACATACTGAGTTCCAGGCCAGCTGGGGCTACAAGAAGACCCTGTCTCAAAAAGATCAATCAATCAATCAATCAATCAATCAATCAATCAATCTCAATCAATCAATCAATCAATCAATCAATCCTGGGGCTACAAGAAGACCCTGTCTCAAAAAGATCAATCAATCAGTCAGTCAGTCAGTCAATCAATCAATCAATCAATCAATCAATCAATCAATCAATCAATAACAGACTATGGGCTGGTGAGACAGCTTATCAGGTAAAGGTGCCTGATGCTCTGCCTGATGACCTAAGTTCAATCTCTAGGACCTACATGGTAGAAGGAAACAACTCCAAAAAAGTTGTCCTCTGACCATCACACATGCTGTGGCAGCCTGGGTCCAAATGGAGCTTAATGGCCTCATTTCCTTCACACTGGGAATGGGGTTTCCTACCACTACCTATCCACCTACATACCCCCCCCACACACACATATAAAATACAATAATTTGCCAGGCGTGGTGGCACACACCTTTAATCCCAGCACTTGGGAGGCAGAGGCAGGTGGATCTCTGTGAGTTCAGGGCCAGCCTGGTCTACATAGTGGGTTCTATACAGGGAAACCCTGTCTCAAAAAAAAAACCAAAAAAAAAAAAAAAAAGCAATAATTTTTTTAAAGACTGTTTTTAGAGCAGTTTAGGCTCAAGGAAAATATAGCAGAAGACAGAGAGGTCCCTGGAGTCTCCAACATCCAACCTCCCTGGCAGTATCAAAGCACGCATTCTAAAGGCCATGAACTATAACCAAGGGCTTACATGACTCAGTTTTCGTGCTGGCATCCCATAGACTGGGACAAGCATACAAAAACACCCTTAGAGTGTGACATGAATAGTGTCACTGCCCTGAAAATCCTAGTGCTCCCTTACTCCCTAAAGCCCTGGTCAGCATGGAGCTGCCCACCTCCCTGATCTTTCTCAGCCTTCCCACTGGCTGCTTTCTCTCAGCCACGAGAGACATATCACCTACCATCCAGAGCTGTTTTCTTCTCTGTGCTGACCAGTAGCCCGTCGTGTGGACACCTCCTACATCCACCCCTCTATCTGTCCACGGGCACTGTGGCTCCTGCTACTATCTGCTGGTTATAAACAAACATGCTCTATGCTTCCTGGAGGGACCAAGTGTTCAGCACTTTTCAAAGAAGTAGGATGGCTGCATTCTTGGTTTTTCAGAGACAATGACCATTTGATAAATGGAAAAACATGAAAGTTTTAACTAAAGGGAAAGGCTCTTAGTGAGGCTCTAAGGTGCTGAGCAAGTCTCTTTCACCACATTTGAACTTCCAGGACCTCCCTGCTCCTGGGGCCACTGGGCAAATTGAGGCCAACTGTGAGAGTGGGGGTGTCATCTCTCTGAAAGGAACAAGCTGGATGGGCTCAGAAGGCCACATGGCTTGGGAAGAACTGGTTCCTGCCCTGCTTCTGCCAATCACCTATCATGACCCTGGGCCTACTTCTTCCTCCTCTAAGTCTTGGTACCCCTCTGAAGCACAAGGAAGACCAAAGGCACCCAGGTTCCTGATTGGAAGCCAGGTGGCTGGGCAGATGGAGAAGTTTTCTCCCAGGGACTGGAATGCTCAACCCTGCCCATTACAATAGTACCCTCACTCCAAGACCACTGGGACCATGGTATATGTGTGTGGAAGAGAGAATTTCAAACCCTAAAGATATAAACCCCTGAAAGCAGCTGACCTTAAACACCCGACTCAGTGGCCCTGTCCCCTCTGGAGCCCATTCTTCCTCCAGGCCAATCAGTTCTGGTTTCCCCATCAAGGGCCACATGGGATTCTATGGCCACAGAATCAGCATGGTCTACAAAGAGAGGCTGGGGAGGAAGCTAGAGTCTGCAAAGGCAGCTGCTAGCCTCCTAGCTCCTGCCTTACTCCCTCGGCCTTTGGAGGGCATCCCCTTGCATTCCTGCCTCCCACCTCTCTCCTGATGGTATAATTCTCTAGGAATCACATTCTCAAACATCTTTAGTCAACACCCAGTTGAAGGCTTCATGCAGTGAGGACTCAGGCCCTGGCCCACTCAGCACCTTTCCCTCCTCCCACAGGACCGGTGAGGCCATTTGGTGCCTGGAGCAGAGCTGGGGTGTTCCTAACCTTCCTGCTACAGTGGGCCTGCCAGCAGGGGGCGAGTGAGGATAGCATAAAGGCCCACAGGAACTGGAGAGCACTGCCCAGGGATGTCTGCCAACTCAGAGGAACAGGCGACAGAGCCATAGTTGGTACAAATGAAGATAAGATGCCTAGAAGACTGCTAAGCCACTTAATAAGCTGACCAAGTGAGCCTGGTACAGACCAGTTCTGCTGCTCTATGTAACACATGAACCTCACCTGCAGCCAAAGGAAGCACTGGTTCAGTTGGAGTGCAACGGCCCCACTGGGGGTGGATTTCCTACCACCAGTTCCTCGAGCAAATGTCAGGCTGACCGCGATAGCAAAGGGGACTCCCTTTCAAAATGTATCCATTAGGTAAAATACTGCAGAAGGCAGGTCTCTTCTCCCCTGGTGAAAGCAGACACTGCCTCCCCTTTAGTGAGGAGCATGCGAATCCAGGCAGCATTCCACTCTGTTGAGCATGTGCAGAGCTGGGCTCCCTAAAGGCCTCTCTGCCAGGACAGGCTCGCACCCAGCTCTCAGGTACATATGTATACTCTCAGTAGCTCTCGGTCCGTAGGGGTCACCCACCCTACATATCCTGAGCTGCCAGCCCCAGGGTCAGCTCACCTCGGAGGTTCTTGACGAAGTCCTCCAGCTTCATCTTACGCTCAGGTTTGACATTGGGGCTGTACATGTCTGTGTTGAGCAAGATGATGGCGAAAGCCAGGATGAAGATGGTGTCTGGGTTCCGGAACTGTCGTACCACCCCAGGGTTGCAGACACAGTACCGCTGGCTGGGAGGACAAGGAGCTGGTCAGGGCTGTAAGAGGCTCACCTGAGCCTTGTACCTGAGCTATCTGTTAAAAGTCAGCCCTGACCTTTGGCTCTGCTGTGGTCCCTCCCATACATCCTAATAGGACAGGTAGCTTCCCAAAAGCATCTGGCCTGCCCAGCTCCTTGGGAGCCAGGGGCTATCCTGGGATAGCATTTACCCACAGGATGGACAGACACAAGAGGAATACTTCAAGGTTATGCCCTTATCCCCCTGCTTGGAGTAGGGACATCACAGTGGGTATGAGGTAGGACATCTGGGACCACGGGAAGGAACCCAGCTTCCCCTGAGCCTCAGCACCCACCTGAGAGCTTAGCCTACAGCAGCCAACCCAACACTCTGAGAGCTCAGCCTACAGCAACCAACCTAACACTCTGTTCACTTGCCCTGTCTCACTGGTTGCCATGGCCATCCTGCCCCAACAGCCATCCCACCCCCAAAGCCCCTCCACAGGTAGCCTCATGGAGGAGCAGGGATAGAGCAGGAGATAGAGCTTGCACAGGGCCCCTCTGTGCCAGAACTGGCTGGCACCCAGATCTCAGGCACATATATGTCCTCTCAGTAAGTCTTGGCCCCCACCCCAGGCTCAGCTGAGTGCTGCTCCCTACAGAAAGCCATCTGGAGTTGTCCGCCTTCTGTGTCCTCACTCATTCTGGCCCCACCTCTGGGGTGGATAGGCAGCTGACAGGAGTCTTCTAGAGTCTAGCACAGAGGTCCTCACATAGCAGGTCTACAAGCAGGAATGACTTTGGCCACACTGTTGTGGCAGGTGCTAGGCTAAGGGTCTCTGAATCCCAAGTCATTTAATTTCTCCACCCCTTGAGGTGCCATTGCCACCCCCCAATCCCCACAGGTGGGGAAATGAGGCACAGAGAAGTTAAGCTGGGAAGTGGTAGAGTTGGTGAGCAGACCAGATCACATGGCTATATGGCTTGTGTGATGAGTAATCAGGAGACACTGACAGCCCTGGGAATGCACAGACCAATGACTGGACTGGAAAGCTAATGAGCTTTGGACGGTGCTCAGAATGCCAGCAGTGGAGCTCTTAACCGCTCACCTTCAGTTTCCACATCTGAAAAATCAGAGTAAGGTCTGTCCTCCCCAGACCATAACTGCAAGAATCAAGGGCCCAGCTCTGCACCTAGGACACTGGTAGCCACTTGTACAGATGCCTGCCTTGCTGCGCTAAAGTGGACGAAGGCCTTGGCACAGCCCTAAGGGGCATATGCTTCTATTGACATGGTGCACCCCACCTCACCCTGCACAGGGCCTGACCTGAAGGCCTCAATGAGCCGTTCCACTTTCTGAGCCTCCCCCTGGACTCGGATGTGTGCCTGGAACTTCCGGAGGGCTTCGTCCAGCTCCATGGCAGAGAAGTCCATCTCGTCCACCACACAGCTGGAACAGAGATGGATGGCTTATGAGAGGAGCCAGGCCCTCCCACTCCTGACACCCCTAACCCAGTTCTGTTGGGGTGATGGGACATAGGCCTCAAGAGCCAAGGCCTCCTGAGCCCAGGACAGGATGCCTCTAGGAAGCCAGTAAACAACACTGCAGACCCTGTCCCTAAGATCCCCAGGCTTCTGGGGCATCTAGAGACTGAGCTGTAGGAGAGACATGTTCTAAGCAAGTGTGCCTCTCTCTACAGAGGGACTGAGCTGTTTAACAGATGCCCCACGAGAGCCTTCTGTGTTCTGCAGAAGGAAGAGAGAACCCTCAGGAGCCAGAGTGGGATGTGTGCCCAGGCAGCAGTCTTGCTGTCATGTGGCAGGAATATGGTGGACAGGGTTGGTAGGGGCCTCTCAGGGGCTACCCTAGTGTTAGGGAGCATGGAAGGAGAGGAGGTAGACATGCTTTCCAGTCCCTCTGTGGTGAGCCCTGAGTAGAGAAGTGGAGCCTGGAGGGCATTTCCCAGGATGGCTTGGCACCCACTTCACTGCTGAAGCAGCTAGAGCCACAAAGCTAGAGTGAACTGCAGAGGCGCTATCACCCCAGGGCCCCGTCTCCACTCCCTGGGGCCCAGAGAAGGGAGCAGGTGGGCAGAATCTGGGCAATCCAGCAGCTGCCCTCTAAGAAGCCTGGGAGATGGGCTTGGGGCCTGGCTACTTCCTGTGGCCAGTGCTATTTTCTGATGGGAGAACAATGTGAGGATTTCCTGTGACCAGAAACCCCCATGAAGTGGGGGGCGGGGTAGTGCGGGGCCTGCAGCACATCTGCAGGATATGCTTTCCCTACATGGTGCTCTGTACCCCAGTTAATGAGGGGAGAGTCAAGAAGCATGAGGACCCATCAGAGAGGCCCACTGCATGCCCTTGGCTGAGAAGTGACAACCAGCTGGAATCTGCTGTGCCAGCCTCTGCCAAAGCCTTGGTCCCTTGGCCAGTGGCATGCCTAGGCATGTTTATGTCCACGTGTGTAAACAAACACAGGAGTACATGCATGCGTGTGTGGGTCCACATGTGCACCCAGCCCTGGTCCCTCTGCCTCCGTGTCTTGTATGAAACAGGGTGCAGCGCTGAACACCAACCACCTCCTAGGGATGGCAAGGGCAAGAGTCCTCACTAAGCTGCCTGAGACCACACTCCAGGTACCCACTGCAGAGCACCCAAGCTGTGAGTTTGCCTCATCTCTGCCCCCTGCTACTGCTGTCTAGCTGAGCACACAGCAGGGACAGCTAGATGAGACCTCCCCATGTTGATTTCTACACTAGGCTCAGTATCTCAGTAGTCTTGCCAGTTGTAGAATCTCTCAATCACAGGTCTGGGGACAATCCCTGGTCCCCAGCAGGGACAGCAAGCAGGCCATCTGCACTGAGCACTCCACCTACCCCTATCCTATGAGTGTTTGGGTAGGAGACATGAGCTCTGCCCTATGCAGGTGGCAGATAGGTAGAGGGACTGTCTCCTCTTTTGCTAGGAGAGACGACAGAGAACAGGGTTGTGGAAGGGGCTGGGAGCCAGTTCTCTATAAGGTTTCCAGTAGTCTAGTGTCACACTCTCTAGCTCTTAGGGCTGCTGGAGTGTGACTGATGCATTAGGTAGGGTCATGGGTCAGGCACCGGCAGATGGACAGCCATCAGGCCAAGAGGGTCACACAGATAAGTCACTTAAAGGTTGGGATGGTTTAGTGCTGGGTTGGACCAACTGCACTGTGGCAACAAGGCCCTGGGGAATGGTGGAGGGACTGTGGAGGAGCGGGGTGGAATCTGCATGAGACATAGCTGGCCATGTGTGCCTGGAGGGTGTGGATATGTAAAATAGCATGGGGTGTCAGGCAGGGGAGATAAGGGGCAGACTCAGTACTGTCAGCTCTCTACATACCTGGGTTCCCCAACCTCATTTTCAACCAACTGTGGATCCAAAATAATTGGAAAAAAACTTTGTCCATGGTGAACACATGCAGACAAGCTTCTGCCATTGTTCTTAAACAGTATGGTACATAACTGTGTGCAGAGCATCGGCGTCACACTGGAGATGACTGGGAACCCAGAGATCCTAAAGCCTGCAGGAGGATGTGCATGGGTTCATTGTAAACACTGGGTATTTTAGAAAGGGGCATAAACATCTCAGGATTTTGGTATCTGTAGGGGGTTCTAGAATGTATCCATGGGGCAACGAGAGACAACTGTGTATGTCCCAGCAAATGGCAAGCCTGACACTCCACACGAGTGAACATGGGTGACATGGCATGTGAGGGACTCTGTAGCTGAAGGTCTATTGTGCATGTGTGGAATGGGCCCCAACTCCCCAGGACTTACTCGAGCACGTCGCGGTTGAACTGCTTCTGTCGGTTGCCCAGGAACTCACCAATCATCTGGCGGCTGAGGCCCTTGCGCTGCAGCAGGAAGTGGGCCACCCCCACTGGTGTGTCAGGCACAAAGCCACGCTCAATGAGGTACTGGACGCCCTTCTCAGGCTTCCTGGGAGAAACGGACAAGAAGCTGCTCAGCAGAGACTGCTGGACTCCAGGGGGTGTCTTGTAACAGGTGTTCCACCTCCTTACACTCTGCTCACCAATGCCAGCCCCTGGCCCTCTTCTGTGTGACATGGGTGAGGACCTAAGAGTTCAAGGTGACATCCAGTCTTGTCTGGTTCCAAGTCCAAAGTATGGAAAGAGCTAAGAATCTTTACTCAACTGCCCAGAGTCCATGCCAAGAAAGGAGCAGGGAGGTTCTGTAGGTGCTGGAGACACAACTCCTAGCCCTGTTTACAGGTCTCTTGGATATGTGAACTGCCCACACAATGTCACCTTCCCTATCCCCACTCCTCAGCATGGAAGCTGTCTACAGGTAACACGTAAGGATCCTAATACCTATACTTACTGTGTCCTGTCCCCAGGGAAGCCCCACCAATTTACTGAGCACTGCTCTTGTAGCTTAGCTTGTGTCAGCCTGTGCCCCCCTCCCCCAACTGCATGGCCTACCCAGGCATAATGAGAGCCTAGCCAGTGATGGGGTAAGAAGCACCTCAGCCTCCTGCTGAGGGTAAGGGAGACACAAACTCAGCAGGACCATCCAGGCCCTGCAAAGATGCACCTACCCAGCACCATGATACCAAGTATACCTGCTGTAGAAGTGGAGTCACAGAGGCCACAGCACTGGCCCTGCCAGGGAGGTGGGAACCCTGGGAAGGTGACTGCGAGCGATGGTTCTATGGGGCCAGTGTTCCCCGACCCCCCAGGGCCTAGTCACACTAGCTAGGTTTTTCTGGAGTCCAGAACACATACAGAGCCAGGCCCAGCAGAGCCAGAACTGAACACCTGGCTGAGGCAGGGGTAGAGAGTGGAGGGGTGTCCCTTGATCCAAATGGGCCCTTTCCTACTCTGGACCTTGAACTTCCTACCTATCTTTGTGGAGGTCTGCACCCTCAGCTTGTCTGGCAGGGAGGTCCTGGTTCCACAGGATGATGAAAGAATTTCAAAATGGCATATAGGTAACTTTTGGTGGGCATGCTTTCTGCTCTGGGGAGTTTATCAGACCTCTCTGAGTTGTGTGGAGCTCCTAGCACCAGGCTGGGCCATTGAATCAAACTGGCTCCCTTTTCCCCTGTTCCGACTGAAAGCTGCTAGGCTGTGAGACACCCTCTAGAGTCTGTGCCGGCCTCTGTGCCTGTTAAATGGGTGACTGGACACATTCCCTTGACCCAGTGGACAGAAGTCTATTCTTTTGTCCCCTGGGTGGGAGATAGAAGCAAAGATTAGTGTCTATCTCCCGTCTGACAGCAGTGACCTGCAGATGCTGTGTCTGTGAGCACATTTAGTACCAGGTCCTGGCACAGCTGGTAATGGAGCAGCCCAGGGTGACCTGGTCTGTCCCCTACTCCCATGGGCACTCTGTCCCTTGCTTTGGGAACACTCTTACTCCTTCTTTGCCACACTCCTATAATCACACACAGTCCTGTGATGTTTGGGATGTTAGAGTGTCTAGGGCAGGCTCCTCTGTCCAGGGAGGCAGGGAAAGTCCCACAACAGGGTAAGAGGTTGTGGTGTGTCCTTGAGGACAAAGGCTTGTCAGGGATAAGGTGTCAGGCGTAGAGCCTGCTGTAGACACAGGCTGTTGGTCAGGGGTCTAAGGGAGGGCAGGCCCTTATGTGTAGTACAGGGTCTTTTCTGAGCACGGCCCAGTGGTACTCTCTGAGTTGAGGCCTGGAAGGAGGCTACAGGACTGAGAACCACAGGCTGTCTTAGGTTGGTTGGTAGTAGGGACTGGAGAAGGGGAGAGGAAGGCAGTTGTGCAGACAGCAAGATGAGTGGACCCAGAGACCCAAGTGAACAGGACACTGAAGGGCCAGTTCTGTGTTCTAGAAGCTTCTCTTAGCTATTCTGAAGAGACTAGAACCTAGGCCCCACGGCAGCCAAGCTAGGAGCCCACCAGCATCCAACCATTGCACAGTGGAGGAGCTAGGAGGGGGCCAGCTTGGGACCCAATGTGATGTGAGGGTAAGGGCTACATCAGCTGATGGATGTGTGAGTATGCTTGTATGGGAGTGTGTGCATGGGTGCGTGAGCATGTGAGAGTATTTGTGGGGGAGCATGTGTGTGTGAGCGTGTGTATATATGTGTGAACATGTATGTGAATGTGTATGCATGTGAACATGTGTGTGTGTGTGTGTGAGCATGTGTATGTGGGCATGTGTGTGTATGTATATATGTGCATCTCTCTATTTGTGTCTGTTGGTGGCAGACACAGGAAAGACAGTCACGAATTCTAGACTGCTAGAGTTTATGACCCGAGCCCAGGGTAGAAGGGACGCACTTTACCTGGATGTTATAGGAGAGGAAACCACTGAGGAGAGGGTAGAGGAGCAGGGACCAGGAGTTGGCCAAGCCATTGGGAGGAAAAGGCTGAGATGAGGGCCAGCTCCAGGACCTGACAGCAGCCTCTGAGATGCTTCCTACAGGAGTAAGCACCATACACTGCCTTCATGGACATGAGTGCTGTGCAGTTCCTGCTGTGGGTGATTCTGCTGGTCCTTCCCCCACTGAGTGGGGTGATTCCTGCCTTGTGTGTATGAGGTGGCAGACCAGGGGCAGCCTCTCCATCCACAGTTCCCTTATAGAGCTCAGTCTGTTGCTAAAGGGACATATACCCCCACAGGTTCTCCAAAGCTTATTACCCATTACTGGTAGCACTCCCAAGATGGCTGTGAGGTCACCTATGGCTACTTGCCACAGGCCAATCAAGTCTCTACCCTCCAAAACCATGTTTTCTCATTAGAATGTAAGGCAGGGAGGGCAACTATGGAGACAGATGAACAGCAAGTTTGGACTTATGTCTTACTTCTACTTACTAGCTGGGGGCCCCAGGGCAAGTTACTTAACCTCTCTGAGCCTTTGTATCCTAGCCTTGATATAGTCACTGACAAGCATGAAGGGAGTTAATATGTAGGAAGCAGGAAGCAGGAAGTTCCCGCTAAGCCATCAGGAACTGTGCAAACTACAGGGTGGAACAGGCCAGGCCTGAGCAAGACCAATCAGAATACCACAGCCACCTGGACAAGGTGTGTGCTTCAGCTACATGGGCAGGAGGGGAGGCTTCCTGAGGAAGTGGTGCTGCATGCATAGTCAGGAGGGTCCCTGGTGGAGGAACGTGACCAGTAAGACAAAGTACCAGGACTTTAAATACTCCCATTGTCTCAGGAAGCCCCTGAGCCTCCCTGTGCTCCCCACCCCAGTGCCCAGATGAAAATCAGCTCTGTCCAGTCAAAGAGGCTATAAGTACCTAGCATCAGAAAGGTACTGGCTTCTACCATCTATGCCCTACCCATCTCTGCAACTGCCCTCAGAGGTCCCTCTGAAACACTTTGCAAGTGGTCGGCAGTAAGCCTGCCCACAGCTCCACCCTGCTGTCTTCTTCCATGTCTGCCTTTCCTACCTCCTAAGTCTTTTCCTGACACCTGATGCTGATTAAGACTCAATGTGACTGGAAGCCCAGACAGTAGCGGTCACTTCGCTCCACATGTCTCTCACTGTCATTCAACTACAAGCTCTCAGAGACAACAGGGAGCTCAGGGAGGTTCTGGGTGACAAGTACTGTGAAATGACCTTAAGGAGCACCTTGTGGCAGGACTGCAACGCTGAATGCTCACCTTCTGTCTCAGCAGGCTGGCAGAGGGCCAAGAAGGGCTTCGAAGGCATCTTCAGTGGTGGTGGCCACTGGAGAAGGGGAAGTAGCCAACAGCACTGCCCTACTCAGTTCCATCAGGCTATGGATTTCCTACCCCACCTCTAAGCTCTGTTCAGTGACCCAGTAGTTCACTTCACTCCCAGCTCTAGTCAGCAGAGCTTCACTTCCTGCTAGACACAGGAAGTAGCTCAGAGAGACAGTGGGGAGCCAAGGGGAACCTGTTAGGGTCTCATGATCCCACTTCCCATTGGGGCTGCCCTAAGGCTACCATGCTTGGAAACTGCTGGTGCCCTGGACAGAGCTGCTGTTAGGAAGGACACCCAGATAGAGTGGGAAGTCAAGCTTCTGTCTAAGTAAGACAGTGTGATGGGCTCCTGCCCCCAGTGAGAGAGAAGGCCCTGATCAACACCACAAAGATCACCCAGTATCTCTGTTGTCAGAGTGCAGGGCCAAAGAAGAGCTCATTAAGGTTAGCATTCAGAGGATGACACATGCCTAGAAGAGCCTTCCAACTGGCCACCCAGGCTTGTTCCCTCTAAGTCCCGAGTCGTGGCTACCTTCCATCTGCCTGCACCTTTCCAGAGTCACAGCTCCTGCTCCTTCCACCTACTAGGTCCAGCTCTGATTTTCACACAACCTTCTGATCCTGGGGTCCCAAGTACAACACACTGCTGGGGTCTTCCTCCTACTCATCCTACAGGTGGTAGAAGAATCCCTCTCCCAAAGTGGCCTGCTGGGCCACACCACAGACTGCCATCCTCTCTGGGGACTGAGCACAGCCAGCCAGACCCAGAGTAAGGCTAAGGACTCCCCCACCACAGGGTGATCACTGGTCAAGGGCCCTGGGTCAAAATGGCCCCTGTCTAGGATGATGGGACCTCAATGCACAAGACCCAGATTATAGTGCTGAGACCCTGGTGAACTGTGGACTCTGCAAGGTATGGCAGGTACACAGTGAGTACTGCTGTGGTCTCCCTCTCCTGCCTGGCCTCTCTGAGTCCTGGCTCCTTCCATATCCCGTTCCTAAGACCACTGAACATTTTATGAGAGTAGATGGGAAGCATTAGCATAGGGCCTGCCATTTACACAGGCTGCAGGGGGTGCCTCTCATCCCTGTTTCTATCAATGACAACAAACACATCTAGCATAAGACATGGAACAGGCAGATAAGGAGCCCAGCTCAATAGTGCTGCCTGAGAGGTGGGACCAGCTCCAGAGCCCTGGGAGACCTGCTTCCTTTGGAGTGGAGGCGAGAGGAAGAGTGCTGAAGGTAGATCAGCAGTGACCAGAAGCCT